GATAAATACCGCTTGTCTCCTGATTCTTAATTTTTCTGCCAATTCTTCTTGCGTCTGAATCGAATTTTCGTTCTAAGTCGAATTCCTCTAACTCACTGTCATCACACTTTCTTGGTCCACCTGAACAATCATCATCTTTCAAATTAAAATTTCCGGTAATTTAAATTGTTGGTACTACTTTTTGCATGTTCTATAAGATACAGTGTTCTCTCCATACAGTGGCGCACAAACTATTTCAATAGCTTCAACAGCTGATTTTGTAAGTTGAAATTCAAAAAGTAAGCAGTAACGCGAATGATGGTTCTCGCATGCCATATTGCTTGAAATTGTTACATAGGACTGGAAACTCTTAGAGTGCTCATCACGACTCTTCTTAAAAACAAAAGAACGCTCTTTCAGATGGCACTATAAACGAGAAGTAATTCGAATTCAGTCAGAAATTATGATCATAGAAAGAAAAGAGAAAGGAACTTATTTGCACACCTAATATTTTATTGCGATAACTAGCGGACTATACATATATAATACGCATGACTATTAGAGAAATATCTCACAATAAATACCAAGAGATCTCGTTTGGCAATCAAAACATCTATTTCCAATATTTAAATAAATATTCGGTGATTAGAATACAATCTAACCTTAATAAGACTTTGAAAAGATCTATTACAAAAGTAATCTTGTGAAAATTTTCTCGTAGGATTTAATAGTAAAAAACTAACTTGCATGGGACTGGATAAAAATGAACGATTCTACTTCTTCATGGTCTTCATTGAACAATATTCGATAGCGCATAATGACATCTAACATTGATTAAATGAACTATTTATCAAACACAAGGAAAAGCCTAATCTCATGACATCTCATAATTGAGATCAGAATTTTTCTAACTCCGAAGATAATAAAATATTTATGCACATATTCCCTTACAGAATTGTAATAAAGTACGAAATATGAAGCCAAATACTATGTGGTAGGCCAAGTTTTGAAATTTCGGAAATATGTTTTGTTACAATGATTAATAAGACTAACATTAATTGTCTAAGTCTCTTATAAATAAGAAAAAAAAATTAGAAATATTTACCTCATCAACAAAAAGATGGCAAATCGAAATATTGATGATTGATGAATGCAGAAAAAATTATAAGGATCATGAAAAAAAAACAAGCACTATCGATAATTAAAAACGTTCAAAAATAAACTATAAACCAAAAGAATAAAAAAAAAAATTAAAAAAAAAGAAGAATTTGAAGTAGAACAATTGTATAATATGGTTGATTATAAACAGGAACTGAAGATAGGTATTGAGATAATGCAGACAAGAATCGATCGAAATGATTTCAATTCTGTTGGGATCGAATAAAATATTTATACTTCCACTGTCACATGGTCCTTGCTGATAATGATGCTATAGATTGCATGAGTAAAATAACATTTTTAACATATGAAGTCGGAATAAGTCCCAAGATACAACGCAGTGTGGCTATTCACAGAGACAGATCATTTAAATAACGTAACAATATTTATCTTTAAACTTTGAAGATTTGTTGTCTAAGTATTTTTCTAAATGTCGATGAACAAAATAAATATCTTTTACAAATTCTTTTGTGTTTCTTCTCTACAATTTCAAAAGAAAATTTGTATCTATGAAAACTTATGAAAATCAACTATAGTTACTTGAGAAAATTGTGAGTTCCAATGATATCATCAGTCTTCTGATTCATGATTTCCAAATAAGAAAAATTCCTTAAATTAGGCTGGAAACAATGTTATATTGTTATATTCAAGAAGTAATCCGTGCGTATTTGTTATAAATATGTAGAATGATAGAATATTCGTTACTGTTGAAGTTGCTGTAATTGGAGAATATCATTTCAGATCTCAGATTGCACTCTAGCCAAATTGAAATGTTTTAAAAAATATTCTAAAATATTCTAAATACTGTCCTTTAAATACTTCTGTCAAAAACGGTATTGTCTTTACACATTATTTTATATCTATTTTATCTTCATAAATACTTTGTAATAATAAAGAAAGATTTCGTATAAAAAAATTATCCTCAATTATTAATTAAATTATAAATTTCTGCTATTTGAAAATCGTGAACACAATATTTATAAAGACTTTTAGTGGCTCGAAAATTAAAGAAAGAAAATTCGAAAAAAACCCAAAATTTTGCAAAAAATATTATAATATTTAATATTAAAATATATATAGAATCGTATAATAGACATAAATTATACTATTAATAAAGTGAAATATTTGAAATATTAAAAATAAAATTCAAGCTGTCTAATCGCTTTACAAGTATTGGTTTTGTTCTTAATAGCAATATTATATATAGTTATTGTTAGTATTTATTATAATATCAATCATTGTAATTTCGTCTTAAAATTATCGCCTAAAAATTCATATTTTATTTTTATATTTCCTGGATTATAAGAAAATAAACAATTCATGAGAAAATAGCTTTTTGATAGATCACATGGTTTTCTGGTAGATCACACATATTCTGATGGATACATAAAATTGTAATAGTAGCAATTTTTTTTTTACAAATATTTTGAAAACTAAAACCGATTGCTGGCCGATTATATGAAAGTCTGTTAAACTTTTGTCTCAAAGACTAAATAAAATACAGCTTTGCATACACAATTGCATTTTTCCTTTATAAATATGCCAAATATAGATAAGTTTATTTCATACATTTTTGAACAGTATTTTGAGGACTTATATTAATAATATTGAATATTTGCTCACAATATCGCATACACAATTCTTCTTCCTGAGTTTGAAATTTTATTTTGCATCCATCTTTCGCATAATCTAGATTTGTCTTTTCAGATTTTCTTTCAAAAAGAACACTCAAAAATATTTTTTTTCAATCGGATCGAAAATCAAGATAACTTTTTTTATCAGAAATAGAATTTTTTACAAGATAAAAAAAACTTGTTAGGTATTAAAAAAAATAAATTGAAATCGATTATCTTGAAAAATAAATATATTTTATAATTAAAAAATATTTCATTTTTTCTTTGTTTTATTTCAATAACTTTCGTTTTCGAGATATGAAAATTCATTATTTTTCAGCCAATCTTCATATTTAAGAAAAAGTTGTTTCTTTTAATATATATTAATATAATTATAATATATATTATTAAATATAATATATATATATATAATAATATATTTAAAAATTAAAATCAGAGAAAAAATTCATAAATTTCTAAAGATTTTTTGCAATTTTATCTTGGAAGTAATATAAGAAAAAATTAATAATTCATTTGGTAAACTTATACATGTAAATAATTTAAAAATAATTTTATTGCATAAAAAAATTAAAAGCTATCGTCCATTTAACAATACTGCATTAGAATGATATCGAACAACATCAAAATATTCAATTATATTTAGTTATATATATTTTAATAAAAGTATATTTATTTAATGGCAAAACATCAGATTAAGATCATATTCTGTTTGCTCTTTTTCAAATATTGATTTATGAATCCTAATTTATGTGATGAATATTGATAATAATCATACACTTTTGAAAGATCAATTTTAAAAATCAAAATAAACACAAAAATAAAAAAATAAAAATGTTGTTAATTAGATTTATTATTTTAAAAAATTATAACATTAATTATAATTTAATTAATAGCAAAATTATAAGCATTATAAACAATTGAAGTTCATATTAGACGAAACAAGAAATGGAATAATAGATTCATTAATCACACATAAGATAGCATTCCATACTTTGTATTTCTCAGAATAAGAATAAGCATAAAACTCGAAGAATTTCCTTAAAGATAATATATTCTTCACTGCCAAACTAAATGTTATTTTTATCCATCTCTATAAAATAATTTAAGTTATAAAGTATAATAAATTATAATATTAAATACATATTTGATATTAGATTATATTTAATCAATGAATTATTTTAATAATTATAAATACAAAATTGATGATCCTGCCATAATACGGAAAACTCAATGAAAATTACTTACGAGACAACTTCAACGAGAATCTATGTATATTTATCAATACGAATAAAAAATAAAAGGAATTATTCTAGCAAAATCAAATAAACCCTGATTTTCAATACTTATCACAATCCCAAATTTATTCTTGATTTAAACGAAATACTCACAATGAACCATACATCATTCATTCATTCCACACTTAAATAAATTCAGAACACTGTCCAATTTAGAAAAAAGAGCAGTAATGAACTTCAATATATTTAAAGAGAATAGAGAATCAAAATTCATTTATTCAATGAACAATTTAAAGATCTTAAAGATCTTTAAATAATTATATATATAGATTTCTTTTTCTCTCTTTCTATTCTTATCTAGTATATTGATCCAATGTTTAATAAAAGATAAAAATATATAATATAAATTTTATTTTTGAAAATTCAGCGATAAAAGTCAGCAACATAATAAATCTATATTCATTAAAAATATATTATAATGCTATAAAAATTTTTTATATGCAATAAATTCTTAAAAAATCTTTAAATATTATGCAACATCTTTTAAACAATTATTTAAAATTTATTGTCCAATGTATCTAAAGTATTGTAATCAAAATTAAATACAAATAGAAATTGTCATATTTAAAATCTACCATCCAACTATTTAAACTTATTATAATTAATAATAATAGTATAAATATATAAAAATAAAAAATATATTCTTCACTGCCAAATCAAATGTTACTCTTATGTAGCTCTGCAGAATAAGTTTAAATTGTGAAATTCGAATAATAAATTGTAATATTAAATATATATTTATAGTCAGATTGTATTTAATCAGCAAATTATTTTAATAAAATCTTGTGACAATATTTCCGTTACATTATCATTATACTTTATTTGTGTCTCATTTCGCAACATTAAATTATAATTTAATAAATAATATTTATATATATATAACTTAATAAATAAATCTTAATTTATATTTTTACATAGCATCTTTTGTATTTTAATGTGTAAAGTCTCTCCAAAGGAATTCCACGAATATATTAATATATATATATATATATTTATTTTTCTACGTACATACAACATAATGTTTATGAGTATATATTATTTCATTTTTCGTTGCCTCAATAAATGATTTCTCAAAGCAATTTGTTTTTCCTTGAAAGAACGTTTTACTTTTCCTTTTACTTTATGCTTTAACATTTGAAAAGCTTTGGTTTTTTTTTTCTCACGATTTGTTTTACTACAAAGTGGATTTTGTCGTCCATCTTTATAACCGAATCTTTCTCTTCCTTCTTGTCCTTTCTATAAAAAAAAAAGAATAAATTAAATATATAAATATATAAATAAACAAAAAAATAAAAGTGTTTTAGAACAAAAGATACAGGAAGACGATAATTTTACGTACAAAATGAATCGAAAAAAAATTGAAATTTTCTTGTTTAAATTTCATTTTTCGAATAAATCAAATCTGAAAACTTTTCAAGAACAGATGAATTTGAATAATTTTCAACTAAATACAAATAAATTATTGATAATATTCTATATATATTATTCTATACATGCAAATAAAATATATAAAATAAAATTTTAATATTTACATGTCATTTTTCGAAAAATTAAAAATATATATCCATGACAAAATGTATGTTAACATGCAATATCAACTATTTATATAAATATCAATGATTGATATCAAAATGTATAAGTGAACTAATATCATTACACTTAATATCTAACTATAGAAACCATTGTTACAATAAATAGATACAAAATACTAAAGATTAGTATCATTATAACTTCGGTTATTGTAATTTCCAAAAATTTGTCCAAAAATTTTTTATATTTTATTTTTGCATCTTGCAGATCCAAAGAATATATGGAATACTCAAACTTAATGGTTAATATTTCAAATTCATCATAATTTATGAAAAAATAACTTTTTAATTTATTTATTTTATTAATATTTATTGTCTGTTATCATCATATATTTATATTAATGAAAAATATTATATAGTGACATATTTAAACATATAATATTATGAATAAATATATATATGTATAGATAAAATTCTATTGTTCTAATTATTTGTAATTTCTTTTAATTATTTATAAAAATCTTTCTTATAAATATCTTGAAAACTAAACTGGCTGTATTTATAAGAAATTGTTCAAAATCTCGTTATCTATATATTTAAAAATCATCAAAATCGAGAAATTTTTCTACAATCTCCCATTTAATATTAATAATAATAATTAATAAAAAATACAAAAACACGAATTAATTTTTTGTTTATAGTTTATAACAAAATTAAAACAGATTAAAGATAAGATTGTTTTACTTAAATCGTGAACTTTGAGAGGAATTGCAAAAATTCAAGTGGGATTTCGATGGAATCTCAATATTCTTACAATATTCACAATCTTGAAATTCAAATTTAAAACAAAAACATAAACAATAATCTAATTTTAAATTGGAGATTGATTAAAACTTTTAATGAAATATACATATAAAATAATATTGATTGTGTCTAATTATTATTGAATCTATGCAAAGTTAAATATTTTCAGTCTCAACATGAGATTCAGAATGATAGAATAAAATATAAAAAATATGATAGAATAAATTATAAAAAATTCCGTTCGAATTTTTCTAGTTTTTTTTTGAGATTTTAAAACTAACCTTCACAGATTCAATCCGAGTTTGTTTATCATGTTTTCGTTTTTTATAAATATTTTCTATATCAATCAATTTAACAAAATCCCCATGTTCTCTTTCACTAGAATGAACTCTCTTTAAACTAGCATATGTTATTTGTTGTTTTGCTAATGCCGTATCTATTTTTTTAAAATCTTCATCATTTAATAATCGTTCATTAGATATCAAAACTGCTTTCTCTCTTTTTTCTGCTATGATCATATCTTTTTTTTTCAATTTTGCGTTTTCTTTTTTTTCTATTTTTAATTGTTTTTTTTCAAATTTTGTTAACAGATTACATTGTTTTTGTTGATTTCGATTAATATTATCAATTTCTATATCTGTGTAATTAATTTTAAAATTATTACTTGTATATATATCATCATTTCTATATGATTTATTTTCCATATCATTGTTCCATTCATTTCAATAACTTTTTTATTATTCATATTATTTATATTTTTCATATTAGATTTAATATTATTAACATCTAAAATTTCATTATCATTTTTGTTTACAAATACGTTTAGCTTTTTTTTTCCTTTTCTTCCAACTCTTTTTTCTTTTCTTTTTTTTCATTATTATCACCATTGCCACATTCATCATTATCATAAAAAACATCATGATCATTATTATTATCAGTTTTGATATCACTGTTGTTATCATTATTATCGTCGTCATCGTCGTCATCATCATCATCATCATCATCATCATCATTATCATCATCATCATCATCATCATAATCATAATTATTATCATTATCATTATCATTGTCACTATCATTAGCATTATCATTGTTACTATCATCATAATTTTCATCATTGATTACATTTATCCAATCATCCTTTCTAATCTGTAAACCATAATTTTTTTAATAACATTGATTTCTTATTATTATTATTAATTATTTAATTAATTAATAGTAATATTTATTTTCAATATCTTACATTATCTTTAATCTTATTTTTTGAAATTTCTTTAACTTTGTCAAATTCATTGTCAAGTAAAACTTCAGCTCCTGGTATAAAATCATTAGTACACGTTTGACCATATTTTGGAATATTTAAAGTAATAGTTGCTTCTATAGGACGTCCTCTATCTTTTTTATGCAATAATTCAGGTATTGAATTTCTGAATACAGCAATCAAAGAACGTGCAGCCATCATTACACTTCGTTCCTTGTAATATTTGTATCGCGCTAAATCTTGTAATAAATCTGCATTCATAACTAAAGGACATCGTATACATATTTCTCTAATCGCATTTAATCTATAATTAATATTAAAATAATTTAATATTAACTAAAATAATATAATATTTCGAAAACATATATATATAAATATATATATATATGTGTGTGTATGTATATTTACTGTGTATTATTAAATATGTTTTTATGTTTAAATGTACATATATACATATTATATTTTACTTAATACACATATATACACATACACACACACACAATATACATACCCAATGGCCATGACATCTGCTGAATTACGTTCTGTAACAAAATTGTTTGCTAACGTTTTCAAAATTGGTTCTAATATATCAGGTGGTATAAGTTCATGAGATGCTTGAGCGACAAATTGTAGAAGCTTTGTTACTTCTAAAAAAAGAAAGATAAATAATTATATCTTATTTATTTATATTATTCATATTATTCATTGTTATTCAAATTTAACACAGAAAGTTGATACAATTTTTAATAATAAAAAAATTACCTCTTTGATGTGGTTGTAAAAATCTTTGTAAATAAGGATAAAAATTTAATAGAAATAAATTATGCAAACCAATAAGTCTTGAAATTACATCCAATGTTATTAATTTAATCTCAAATCTATCATTATTTTTTTCCAATTGTTTAAATAATTTTTCTGTAAAATCCTGTGGATCATGAATTAAATGTAATGCCGAAAAATTAAATCTCAATGTTTTCATCTCTTTTTTTTTAGATTTCTAAAATATTAAAAATTCAAAACGTTCATTATTAGCAAATTGCAATGTTCTATTATTCTATAATGATCTATTATTTATAATATATGATTTACTAATTGACTTACCATTAATAATCGTTTTGCTCTAGCTAATTCTTTATTTCGTTTTTTTGTTTTTTTATTTACTCTATTAGCCATCATAATTTCTTTAATATTTGATTCATTATCACTGTCAGTTTCCTCACTTATTTGTTCTTCTGGATCTGTTCCCAGAAAGAATTTTAAGCAAGCAACCATAACTTTAGTTGCTTTAACAAAACAACCTGTTGCTAGGACATTTACCGTTTTCGCATCATTCCAAATATTTTTATTATACAATTTTATCATGATATCTGCAGACATTTTTGCAGCCTTTACATTAGAATCTTTCAACATTGAAAACATAAAATTTTGTAGAGTTGTATTAATTTTTGCATTTTTTTGTTTAGAATTCACATTTTTAATATCAGTAATAATATGTGTTTCAAGAAATTGCCTTAAATTTTTATCTTGGCATCTTAAAAGTTCAAAAAACAAACTCAAAAGAGCAGTGGGTTCTAAGAGAGATTTATTACGTAGTTGTATTAAAACTTTACAAAATGTCTACAGAAAAAATTTACTTTAATTATAAAGAAGAAAATCAATTTAATGATTATTGTTAGTTTTTGACTATTATTAATATTTTATACTTACAAGTCGCATATCATTATCAAGTACCATATTATAGGTTTTTAATACATCAATAATTTCTTGAGGAAATGATTCTAACACATATGGATAACAATGAGCCACCTGTATTAATATAATAAAATAATATAATACTTAGAAATGATACAATTCCATAATTAAATAAAATAGTAATAATTTATATATGCAATATATTAAATTCATTTATATATATTTTGTGTTACATGTCTATAAAAAAAAAAAATATTTCATAAATTTTAATGTTTTATTTTTTTTTTAAATTAATCAGTACATAAAATTAAAATAAATAAATTTATATAATCAAAAAAGTTTAAGTCAATACATTTTCAATTTAACATATAAAATTGTACAAATAGTTTTGTATATTAAATCCAACAGTTTTAGATATGACAAGAATGAAATCATATGATACACAACATTTGAGTTTAGGCTCATTCAAATTATAATTTCCAACAATCGATAGCAAACCAAGTTGACACATAGATGGAATCTGTGAGAGTAAATTAGCATTTATATCAACTTTTTCAATAAGAATGGCACAAAAAATAGCAATCATCCTAGATATTGGAAAATTGTAAGGTCCACAAAAAGTATTTAACATTATCTTTTTTTTACTAGTATTTTTTCTTTTTTTCTTAAATTTTTGTTTCATGAACAGATATTTATCTTGTGTTGCAGGATTATACGAAGCAAGATATGATGCAATTAACATATATTTCGCATAATATGGTAAGTCAAAACTTAATGCCAATCTCATTGTTGATTCAATATCTTTAGATAATTGATCAGATTTTGTAAATTTTTCAGAAACTCGTAAATAAATGAACTCTAGATTTGCTTTAAAAGTTGCAGAAATATTTCTCCATAAGAAAACAGTATCATTCTTTTAGTCTGATCAATTTCAGTAGGTTTTACATATTTAGAAAAATTTATTTTGGCCATATAACGTAGTTCATTAATATCTCGACAGAATAGAAAATACACAGAGAGAAATAGTTTTAAATAATTTTTATAAAATACACTGTCATGATCATATGATTTATTTAAAAATAAAATTTCGATAAATTCATTCCGTGTATATTGTGAAAAATGAATTTTAATAGGTTCATAAATAGTTTTAACACAAAACTTTTCCCACATTATATCACTTATAAATATTACACAAACATTGACATTTGATAATTCTTTGAGTTTTGAAAATGCAGATAATAAATTGACATCATTATCTCGTAATTTATCACATTTATCAAGTACTATTATAATTGGACGAGTATCTTTCATAAAAATTTCTTTGAGATTTATTATAAAGTCCAAAAAATTATCACATTTATGATATGTTTGTTTATTAGTTGATAAATTATTAAAATGCAATGATAAATCACTTAAAATATAGTCAAATATGTATCTACTGTTCACATGTTCTATACAATTAATAATAGCCACATTATATTTTAAATAAGAGAGCATATTTTGCACTACTAAAGATTTTCCAGTAGCTACATGACCATAAATAAATATACTATAAGGCATTGGTTCATCGGAATAACCAATTAATGAATATAATTGTATTATTACTTTCTTACGACATATGATTTTCCCATCTATATATTCCAAATATTTTTCCATAATTATTTTTAAAAATTCTTTAATAATAAATAATTTGAATGTTACTAAAAATATATTTTTTCATATATTTTGTTAATTATACCTGTAAAAAAAATTTTTTTCTAATATTTAAGAATCTCATATAATCATAAAAAATAATAACAAAATCATATTTAATTTTTCAGACTTATATGAATTATTTTATATTAATTTTCAAAACATTACCTGTGCTAAAAAAGTGACTGATTCATCAAGATTTTTATTAAACTTATTTGGTATTAAACAAAAAACTTCCAAAGTGGATTTATAATGTTGATACTGTTGAAGAAACTAAAAAATTATAAAAAACTGTATTAAATATATTAAATAATATTTTAATTTGAAAAACTTACTTCTTCTTTATAAGATTCAGGATCTCGTTTAATAAGATTTTGTAATTGTGGAAGATTCTCTGGTAAACGATTATTATGTCTCACCATTTTTTCATCTAAATTAATAAATAAAAATAAATTCAATTTATTTAGAAAATATTATTATTATAGAAATTATATATTTAACATAAATGAATGCAACATAAGGATTGAATAATAATTTCTTAAGTAAATTTTTTTGATCATAAAAACAAAATTAAATATTTTATCTTTTTAATTCAAATTTATTATAATTTTATAATTTAATATTCATAAATACAATTTAATGATATATAATAGTAAATTATATATAGAATTATATATAATAGTAAAAAAAATATTTTATACACGTGCTTTGTATTTAATTGGTAAGTCAATAACCAATTTGAATCAATTTGTCAAATAAATTTGTTTAAAATAAAAAAATTTAATTTATAAAATTAAGATAAAATAAAAAAAACTAATTATATTGAAAAATAAAAAATTTTCAGTTTTTACCATCTAAATTTCTAAATAAAACACTTTTAATATCTCAAGAAAATGAATCTTGAATCTTAAGAAAATGGAGGAAATTTTATGGTGTTTCTTTTTCAATTAGAAATAAACAAGATAAATAATTATTTAAATAAACAAATTATACATATAAAAAATAAAAAAAATAATAATTATATATTACTCCATTATTTACTTCCATTATAAATAAATATATTTATACATAAATATATAATAACATATATATATATATTTGTATATAAATAGTAACATAGACGCAAAATATTCATTTTATTATAAAGAATTCTATTCGAAAATTTTAATTTTATTGAAAATTTGTATATATATATAGAGCATAATAAATTATATATAAATCAAATTATTTTTCAGAAAATTTCTTCTAATAAAATTAAATCCCAAAGGTTTCAACATTTTTTCATCTAGATTTCATATAATGAAATCAACATTCAAAATTTCAGTATTTTTTCATTCTTTTCAATATAACTTTATAATAATAACATAGAATAAATTTTAAATTTAATTTTTAATATTCTATTATTCTATTGCAAAAAATATTAAATATAATAAATATTATAATTATATATTATATATTATATATTATTCATTCATGTTTGTAAATAATAGGAAAGTATAAGTGAAAAAATATATTTTTAATTATATTTTTTATTTATGTTTAACAGTATTATTTTTTATAGATTTTATTTTCTATTTATTTTCATTTTCAATATTATATGATGTATTAAATATATTTTTTTATTGAAACCAGCTGATTGGCTTCTTTCAATAATATTATTAATTTCTTGTAAACTTTTTCCACTTTCATAATGATTTATAATCAATTTTCTTAATTCAATTAAAATCTTATTACTTTTTCTATCTATTCAATAATTTAAATGCTATAGATTAATATTGTTTAAAACAAAAGAATAATTGCCAATTATTTTTTATATATAATTCATATATAATGAATAGGGATTTCATGTATAATGAACAGAAATTTCGCTATATAATAAAAAAAATTCCCTAGATATATCCTAGATATACATTAAATATACATTATTTATATGTTGGCTATACAAGTTTTAAAGATTAATTATAACATTTTTTTTTATTTTTCATGTTTTTAAATAATAAAAAAATTCGTAAATCAATAATATAGTATAATAATGAATTTTGTTATATAAAATAAATATAAATAAAAAATTTTTAAGAGAGATAAGAAAGATATTTTTTTTCATTTATACTATATTTCTATATAGTGTACGAATGATTAAATAAATATTATATTAAGTAAAAAAATTATACGTAATTTAAATAAAATTGTAACAAATTGAAAAAATGCTGAACTTTGAAGATTGTTTTCTCTTTCTCAAATGAATTTCTCATCGACAAAAAAAATATTTCATGTATAATTATATTCTATATAATTATACATATAAACATTTAATAAAATCAAAATTTGTAGATAGGATAAATTTCTTTGTAATATAAAGGAAGCCTTTTTAGCATCTGACTTTAGTAAGTGATATATCAAAAGTTTAAATTTCATTGCAAGATTTGAAATTTTAATGCAATTTTTTTTTAAATATTTATATTAATATAGACATCAAATATTTGATATAACATATGATGATAATGGGAAACGATAATGAAACATCAGATAGTGAAGAAGAAATTCTCGTATATGTAGAATTTGAAGTACTTGATGATAATGTGTTTAATGAGAAACAATTACAATTAGACATGATTGGTATAGATACAGAACATCCTATAATGCAAATTAATGGAAAGGTAAATAATAGGTAAATTAATATTTTATTGATTTTTATTGATTTTAATATTTTATAATATTTTTTTGTTTGATAATTTTAGTTTTATGAAGGTACTTATGAAGATGTCGTTGGTACTTGTATGTTTTTTACAAAAACTAATGATTCTACAATGAGTGATCCTGTATTTGATACTGTTCCAAATTTTAAATATTTTGCTAAAACTAAAAAATTTTTAAAAATGCAAAGAATCTTCATAAAATCTAGAACAGAAGTTCTTGGTGATTCTGAAAACAATCAATGTATTCCAAATTCATATACACTTAAACAAGCAGGAATACCATTTCAATATCAAACAGAAGGTATTAAAAGTTTAATTTATTCAATAATTGTTTATATGATGTGATTCCAATTATAAGGTATATAATTTATTTTATAGCTCTTTTATTTTGGAAGACTATGCGAAATAATAGATTAAATGCATTACATTCATATTTAGAAAAACAACGTATCAGACAACAAAAAAAATCTCAAGGCATAATATTAGAATCTGAATCTGATGAAGATAATCCATTTGCTATGTATGAACATAAAGGAGAAACTTTTAATTTAGACAAGTCAGAACATATTCATGTTGATTCAAAAAAAGAATTAAGTAATTCTGATAATTATTAATCTAATAAAAATTAATATTTTAAAGAAGATATGTAATATATATATATATATATATAAAAGAATGAATTTTTAATAATGAATTTTTATTTTGAAAAATAATGATTGTTTTTTAATCAAAAATATATACTAAAAAAATTCTGAAAAAAAAGCTTAATACAATTTGGAATATATAAAACAGAATTAAAAACAAAATATGATATTTTATTTCTTAATAATTAGCATTTATTTTTTTAAAGATTTGTACATAATATAAAATGTTTTATATAAAAATATAAGATATTAAAATTCTACATATTATAGAATAATAAATAATATAGATGATTGATAATTATTTTTAATTTTTAATATACATTATTTGATTTTATTTTTTTAATTTAATAAAAAAATTAACATAATAATATTTTATATCAAATTATATTAAATTCATATGATAATAAAAATAATATGATATACATGATATAAAAATTATTTTATATCAAATTCATTGATATAAAAGTATTATTTTAAAATGAGAACTTTTCTTTATTTGATATTTAAAAAATTTTTAATATTATATTATACATATATGATATTATATATTACTGTAATTTTTAATGTAATATTATACATTACTAATTTTTATTAATGTAACAATATTTATTTAAATTAATCTTTAAATACTGAATTATTTTTAGACATTAATGTATTAATTGTGTAATTATATGTATTAATTAATGATTTAATATGTATAGAAAAATATAAAATTGTATTAAATTGCACGATTTTTTATATTAAAACCATGTAATGCAAATATTTAAATACATAAGTACAGTTTTTTTTTTCCAAGTTATTACCAATTCAAGTTACTAGGAAGTTCATCAGGATAATCTCCTGTTAAACAAGCAGTACAATGACCAATGTAACTGCTTTCACGATTATCCATACCGAATCTTACAGCTTTTACAAGTCCATCTACTGAAAGATACGTTAAGCTATCAGCTCCAACATGTTTTGCTAATTTTACATTATCCAATTTATTAGCAATTAACTCTTCTCTAGTTGGAATATTAATTCCCATATAGCAAGGATATTTTAATGGAGGAGAAGCTATCCTAATATGAACCTGCAAAGACAAAAATTTAATAACATCATTTAATAAATCATTATTTAATTTCTTAATAAACTTTTTTATCAATTTTATAAAAAAAGAATTACTTCTTTTGCTCCTGCATCACGAAGTAATTTAATAATAGGTCCAATAGTATTTCCTCTAACAATCGAATCATCTATAAGAATTAATTTTTTTCCTTTTACATTTTCTGATAAAGCTCCAAATTTTTTTGCCACACCAAGTTGTCTGAGTCGTGTACTAGGTTGAATAAATGTTCTACCAACATATCTATTTTTGCATAGTACTTCCGCAAACGGTATTTGAGACTGCAAATTAATAATATTATTTTAAAGATATTATTGTTTATAAAATTTAAAAAAAATTATATATTAATATAAGAAAAAAAAATTAAATTAACATAAAAAAAACTTATATATTAATATAATTTTTTAATGTTAAAATAAATTATACATTTAAATCAATTTTGTGAATTACTTATACCATATAAAATAAAGATTGGATAAACGAATTGGATAATAATTAAAAATTCAGAAGTTATAAAGTCAATAGTTGCAATTATTAAAGTAAAGCCTTCTCTCTTAGAATTTGAGCTGAATTTAAAATTTTTGTTTTATATCTTGTTGAGTGGAAAAAAACAACAAATGAAAAAAAAGCAAAAATAAAGATAGTTGAAAAGAAATATGATACAAATTAATACAACAATTAAAATTCTTTATTTCTTATAAATATTTTTAATAAATTTATCAATATATAAAATTTTTTTGATTAAAACAATATCATTGATATTATATAATAAGTGATTTTAAGTTTTTTTCATTTGTTGAGATTTTAGAAATTCATGATACTAAAAATTATGAATATTTTAACATAATACAATATTGATTTAAATTACTACTTTAGATATAGAAATAATGAAATTAAAACAATCTTTAGAAATTATAAAGAATAAGATTAATAAAACAATTATCAAAAATTAATTATAAAATAAACTTGAATTCAATAAATAAAAATTAAATTAGCAATTGATTCATTTAAATTCATTTACAAAAGATCAAAAACCTGCATTACATACAGTTCTATCAGCAAATGTGTCATTTAATTCTTGTCATTATTATATAATGATAATATATCTTATATGTCTCATTTGTAGCTACTAACATTAAATATGCATGTATCAATACACACTTTTAAAGGCCTTTTGATATCATAAATTTCTAAAGTTAAAATTGTTATTTTTGGATTCTCATCAAAATCTATTAATAAAAAATAAATATTGCTTTCAAGTTCCTTCAAATTATATATTATTTTTGATCTTATTTTAATTAGAAAATATTCACAAACATATTAACAAAAGTTTTGTTAAAAGAAAAATAAAAAATAAGAAAATTTAATTATTTCATTGGTTTTAAAATTTTTAATTAGAATCATGTTATATTGTTCAATCATAGAATTTTTATGACATGGATATCTAATAGTGGGAATAAATTTGTATTTACCAGATTATTTTTTTTATTGTAAATTTATATTCTGCATTTATAATTAAATAATTTTATTATTAATACTTACTATTTTAATTAAAAAATTTTAATACATTTACCTGTCTGGCATATCCATGTGCTGCTGCAGTTCCAGATTCAGGTACTGAACTAACTATATCTGCTTCTATTGGAGATTCCAAAGCAAGTTCTCGACCACATTGCATTCGAACAGAATAAACCATCTGTCCTATTATATAAAGTGAAATAAATTATTTATTGATATTATTGATATATATATATATATGATATAATATACTTTATATATATATATGATATATAATATATTAAGTATATTATATCATATATATATGATATATATGATATAATATACTTAATATACTTATGATATAATATGATATACTTTTTACCTTCAAAAATACTGTCACTACGTGCAAAATAAACATATTCAAAGATGCAGAATGCTTGAGGCTTTTTATCTGGTCTATCAACAATATCTATAGTTTTTATACCCTCCCGTGTCAATTCTACAATCTCTCCAGGAAATACTTCACGCACATATCGTGCTCCAATACTTAAAAAGCCACATGATTCAGATGATATAACCCAACCTTCAGCTTCATCATCATCATCTGATTCATTTCCTGATATAAAAAAATTTCTTTTATTTTATTGTTTTATAAAATTTTATAAAGTTTTTAATTAATTAATAAAATATAATATATTATAATATGATAAATTTTAATAACAAAAAAATTTAATATAATAAAAAATTTTCTAATATTTTTTTATTGCAAATTATTGATAATATTTTGTAATTATAATTATAGAATATAAATTTTACATACCCAAATTACCAATAGGTACAATTTTTCCAAGGCATAATGGACGATTTCCATAAGGATCTCTAACACCATATATCTTATCTCTTTGCATAATTACTAATGAATATGATAATGGTGCTAATTGCATAAGGTGTTTTATTCGTGCTGGCCAATCTGGACCATTAACTTCACCTTCAGGAGGATTTAAACAGAGTGCTTGTGTTATCAATTCAGAATCTGAGTATGTTGATAAACCAACTCCACGTCCTAATACCTAAAATTAGCAAAATTTTTCTAAAAATAAATATTAAATTAATATAAAACTTTTGGATGTGTTTTAGTTACCATTTTTCTTAATGATTCTGTATTCACTAATTCTCCATTGTGAGCAACTGCTAACGCTCCATGTGCAGTATGTACCACAAATGGTTGACAATTAACTTCTTCACTTGCTGCACTTGTACTATATCTGGTATGACCAATTCCAAGATTTCCATTTAGTTTTTTCATGTTTTCATCATTAAAAATGTTATTAATCATACCCATGCCTTTATGGACATGAAAAGATTTTGAACATACACCTTCACTTGTAACAATACCTGCACTTTCTTGACCTCTATGCTGTAATGCTACTAAACCTAAATGAACATTAATTATATATGTATATATAATTTATTAGTTATATATATTATTATTATTAATATTAATATTTATTGTATTTTTTTAATTTTTATAATATATATATATTTAATATATATATTTATTATGATATATTATATATAATAATATATATAATATATAAATTAATAAATAACTACAATGTTCTCTAAAAATACAAATAAAATTTAAATTTACCCAAACAAATTACTTGAGCAACATCAATTTGAGATGGCCAATCACCTGCAGCAATACATCCAAAAACTCCACATTCATGTGTAAGGCCAGTTATTATTTCATCTCTCAATTGTTTTTTATTTTGGAATGCTTTAACTCTTTTATTTTCCTGAGATATTATCTGATTACAAGAATTTGTTTGCATATTGCAAAATATTTTAATTATAATCTAAAAAATATTATATTTATTAAATTATATTATGAAATTTCTATTATTATTAAAATAATTAATTATTTTATTGTAATTGAATGTTAGATTGAAATTAAATTCTTAATTATATATTGAATTAATTATAAAAGATGAAAATAAATTAAAGTTAAATTATATAGTATTATACAATAATAAAAAAAAATATTATTATATTATTAAACATAGTAGACCCCCCTGAGATTTCTTCTGAATTATCATCAGTAATAACCCTCTATGAACTGTTGACCTTTAATAAACAGATAAATTTTATTTTTTTACTATATATATATATATATATGTATTCTTTTTATTTGCTTAATCAATATTTTGCAACTGATTTCATCATTGTATCCCCGATTTATCAGTATGTATGTTGATATCAATATATATAAAAAATATTTATAAATTAATCTTATTATTCTTAATGTAATATTATAAAAAATTTTAGTAATTATATTAGTATCTTAATAATTATTTTTATATTATTTTTAATTAAAATTGTAGTAAATATTGACTAAAAAAAAAGAAAAAAACAGGAAATCTTTAAAAAAATAAAAAAAGAAATATGTTTCTTTCTTCAA